GGGTACGGATGGAGTATCGGTGGAGTATCAGTGGGGTAGGGTGGAGTACCGGTGGAGTAGTGTGGAGTATCGGTGGAGTATGCACTCCTGGAGTATCGCCTTTTCCCCCTTGAGGCAAAAGCAGTTTTCTCTTACTTTCCTAGCATTCTTTATATGTTTTCATTTGTTTGTACCTTTAGATTTTATTCTGCTTCGTGTATTTTTATCTTCTTTTTGTGAAATAAATATCTTAGAATGTTCACCTCCATTATTGTTTTATTCCATTACACTCTTCAATATAGAAATATACGCCATCAATTACTCTAATATTCTGATTGATCGAAAAACATTAACCAGCATTTTTTTTCTTTACTTGCAATTTATATAACCAACCAGACGAGCACTTCGTTGATCTGGATAAGTAGATAAATACCATTACCCCTCCCCTCCTCCCCCAATATCCCATCCTGCTCCCCCACACTTATCCTCCTTTACATAGACTCACTTACCTCAAAACTCTCTTCTATGCAAGCCCTCACACACTCTTTGTAGCTGCTCAGGTACAATGAAATTTTGACATCTTTTACTGACTTATATATGTGATCAAACAATGACTCTATAGCCTTCATTGTTTAGTTGAATTTTTTGTTTCCCTCGAATCAACATTGATTTTCTAAGAAATAGATTTAAAAAATATTTACAGTGCAACTGTAACCCTGATCTTCTGCACTAAGTATAATGAATAAAATGTACTTTCATCATTTTCCAGTCAAAACAGTCATAGTTTCATGCAGAAACCAACGCGAAAAGTGTTAAAAATCAAAAATTTCCTCCGGATGCTTAACTACGTACAGGTTCGTCCTTCTTTTTCAGTTTTCTCGACTTTTAGTGACACATTTCTTCCTTTCTACCGGATATACTTTTTGAATAGTCCCCAGTCTTTATTTCTTAAAGCATTGTTGTACCATTTTCAATAAATGACCACAATTACAAAGAAATGGTTTGGATTGATCAGCATTAAGCTTCATTATGTTTAACTACAACTATTTCTCTCATAGTGAACTAGCAAAGGTCACTGCACTATAAGACCACAAATTTGCTATTAGCTAGATTCAAGGAGAAACGGCGATACTTCACAAGTACACACTCTGCTCTTATGTCCATTATAGTTTCATTTACGTCCATCTAGTTCCACGCACTTCCAACGTGCTCCCTTGTACTTCCCTGTTCTTCTCTCATATTTCAAAATATATCTGATTTAGATGAAGAATCACTTCTTTCTCTCGCCTAGACTTTAATATCAGTAGGTTAGAAGAGAGAAAGCGAAGTTCTCCATATTCTTGCCTATATATTTTATCTTTTCCACGGTGCACAAAAGTTTCCCTCAAAATATTGGTTTTAGGAGCCAACAATGAACATAGCTAAAACAATAAGCAATTTTTTTTCTTAATCTAAAAAAATTTTAATACAAACTTTCAAGAAATTGAGAATTCTTTTTCTCAGATTTTTTACATTCGTTTTATTTGTCTAAGAAAAGCACCTAAACAAGATTAGGATAAAAGTGGCAGTACATTATTCAGTTATCAAGGTTTTGTCGCGTTTGGAGGAAAAACAAAATAACATCTTGGAAAATATTTTAATTTTAATTTTTTTGAGATTTTGCGCAATATTGCTTTGAAATTCAATTATAATCTATAGATTTCCAAAGTTTCAAGGGATTCTGACATGAACCTAGCTAAGAAAGTGAAGAAACTCTTTCATTCATTGTTGCCAGATTCTAACAGAAACCTGAAATAGTAACTTTTGAATAGTCTCTAAACATAATTATGAAAAGATCTTAGCTGGCTCCTTGTATTTTCTTACCAAGATCCAACATATTTGTGCTTTTTAAACTTTTGAAATGCGTCTTCTTGAACAGTTTCTCCAGAATCTGATGCAAACTTGGGAGGATTCCTCTGTTGAGGATTCTGACGAATATTGATATATTCTTCACTTAATCCTTCTCTGATATAGCTGTAACCCTTCACAGGATCTTTATATCAGAATCCATAGTAGATCTTGATTCTCATCTAATAAAATCTGGAGAGAATTCTATTTACTATTTTTCAACGGTTTTTGCACAGAAATAAGATCAAATCCTTGAATGATCCTTCAAATTCGACTCAGAAAAAAATTCGAGCGAGAATTTGAACATTTTTGGATAGATGTTGAATCAAACCTGACAGAATCCTTAAGATTCAAGATTATCTCAAGAAATAAATGTGGTTTCGTGATTTAACAAGAACTTGTAGAGATATCTACGAAGCCCTTATTATTTCTTATTAAGATCTTGAAATAGATCCACATTATCTTGCAATGTTTGAAACCCCATATTTTTGAAAATTTCTCCACTAGATCTTGATCCAGGCTTTGAAATAACAACTCACTTTCGTATCATGATTAAAGTTGTTACTTTCTTGGCAAGATCCTCACCTGATCTGCTATCTCTCCTGATAGATTCCTGATACAAAGATTTAACATACATTCTGATAAAATTCTGATCAAATCTTCTTAGAGACCTCTCCTATAATTCTGACAGAATTCTTCCAAGGATTTTGAGTAAATCCTGATAGGATCCTCTATTTGAAAGTCAGGAAAATATCTGAACAGGATCTGGCTTCACTGTGAAAAAAATCCTGGAAGCAGATATTGCCAGGATTCGAAACAGGATCCTAAATAAAACCAGATAAGATCATTGGCATTCAGGATCACGAAAGATTCTTCAAGGTTTTCTTAAGAGTTGCGCAGGATTGAGACTAGAGTAGATACGATCCTTATGTCTCAAAAACAGTGCGGCTTGACATGCGTTTGTGCGTTTGAATGTAGTCAATATCGTGTATAAACTAAGATGTTCTGCATCCTCAGGTTAATATTTCATCCGACCCAAAGACTAAGGATTAGTCATACTCGCAATACCACCCACGGCTTTCATTTGAGGTCTAATATATTGATGCTGCTCGCCATGCACCAACCATAATCAGTTTTCGTAAAAAGTGATTTCTCATATTTTGTCAGCATGCACCCCACAATGATGAAAAACCATGATTCATGGCATCCTATCTATAATTTCTAAAATATCCTCCATGGATCATCCAACATGTGAATGGATCAATCTATTCTTATCTTTTGCATGCTTTATTAATCTTTCATTTTATAGCTACAAGATCACCCTTCTTATGTACTGCTGCCGTGTACGACAATACAGTAATCACCATCGGCACTAGTTCTTCATATGGGTTCTATGGCATTGGAACGGATTTAGATAACAACATATACGCCAGTAATAGTGGAGCTCAAGTTTACAAATATTCATATGGCAGTAATTCCACAGATGGTATACTCTATGCACCGACTATCGCACCAGGGTTTGCTTATTATGGTAGTGCTGGTGGCAGCAGTGCTACTCAGATAGGAACAGTTTATGGTTTATTTGTGGAACCTGTATCCAATTACCTTTATATGGCTGATACTGGAAGTTATTATACTGGCTATAATTCAGTACCAAATTTCAATTATCGAATCCAGCGTTGGGGACTCAATGGCTCTGTATCTGGAACGACTATGGCTGGTGGAGCTGGATCTGGATTGGCTCCCAACCAGATAGGAACTGTCTTTAATATTTATGTGGACACCAATGGTGTTCTCTATGTACCTGATGTTACGTATCATCGTGTGACTAAATGGACTCTTAGTGTTGCAGTAGGAGTAGTCGTAGCGGGTTCAGAATATGGTGTGAAGGGTTCGTCTC